GGGGAGGGTACATTTTTTTTTCCGCGGTGCTCTCGACTTTGCGCATAGATAGTTGAACTTGTCGAGAAAAAACCATTCAAGTATACACATTTGCAGGTACATGTGTTTAAAGAATTCCCCCCTTGCGACCAGACTCGGACATACCGCCCCCCCCCCCTCGGTGTTTTCAGTTATTCACGATTACGGCGCTTAATTTTAGCCGGCCGAGGCTTTTTTTTAATTAAACCCACACTCCCGCTCGCGCAGCCGCCCTTATCGAGACAGATTGATGGATCCTCTGCCACGCGTAGGGCGCGCGACATTATTTCCGTCGCGAGTTTCGTAAATATTATTTACGAGGTGGCGGGTTTTTTTTTCAGCTCTCGGTGCCGCCGAATGTTTCTCCCGTTTATCCATCCGCCGCCCCGGCAAAGGGACAAAAAAAAAAAAAAAATAACAAAAACGCGAGACAACTATACGGGGGCTCACGTGTCCGTGCACTCGAACAAAGTGCCAGAGGGATTTCGGTGGGTGGGGGGTGGGGGGCATTGTCGTGATAAACGGGGGAAAAACAAGTCGGCGGGGTTCATTACGCGACTAACCGATCGCGAGCCGGGCGACGGCGCTTAAAAAGACGACGAGCCCGCGCGACGGCGATCTCCGCGGTGACAGCGCGAATTTGCGAGACCGGGGGAGAAAGAACGCGAAAGAGAGAAACGAATGAATTTCCGGGAGTGCGTGTATATACGTATACGGGCAGGGAAGAGCAAGAGCGATGGGCGTGGACGGGTTGGACTGCCGTCGAGAGGAAAAATGCGCGCCGGGGGATGGCCGGTGCAGTACAGTGGTATGGTATAGCTTTGGAAATGAGATTTGCTGGTGAGCCGACAATTTATCGCAGCCAGCTGTGGGTATATAGTATCATCACAACCGGGTACATCTCGGGTGGGCCAGGGTAAAGTAGTATATACGTGTATATATATGTAGCCACCGACCAGAGTTATAATTAATACGCCCCCCCTCACCCCGTGACCGGCTCATGACCGACGACTGTGAATATATATATATATACACGAGCGCGTGCCACCGATACAGTTACATTGCGCCGAGGTGTATACGTAGAGCTACTGCTGATTAAGTTTGAACATCCATATATATGGCTGCAGGGGCAACTCGTCGCCGCAAAAACACATTAAAACTTGAATGAGTACGGATGAAAATTTGGTCGGCGGGAATCAAGCGACCGCAGAGCAAATGGCCTGGCGGTTGGCGCGGCTGATCCGAAACAAACCGGTAGCTTTGGCCCTCTTTTCACCGGCTCTCGCCCGAAATATCGAAATCGGCCCTTAAAAAATCCATCCCTACACATACACATGAGCGCAGTTGCTTCCCAAATTCGTATATACCCTGCATCTGTAACAACCATACTACAACCCCGCAGGACTGACTGATTTCGGTTGATGGAACGCGCCCAGCCTCGCCGACTACTCGACCGGTAGATGGATAGATCGGTTTTTGGCATTTTGTCAGCAAATCGCGGATACACACACTGGGATGTCGGTTTGTTTGTTCGCCTCGGCCGCTTCTGTTGGACCGCACACCGGATTTTTATTAATGTCGCGTCGACGGTTAACCCCGAGCTTTCGGGAAATCGTTCGATGGACCCGACTCTCTCTCTCGGAAATTGCCTTGTGGAAAATTCCCAACCATCCGTGGATGTACTCTGTTCGGTCGTCAAAATGTGACTCTTGACATGATGTGTACCGTTTGCAATGAAAGGTATAACAAGTCGGAGCTGGACGAGCGTGTTATAGATGCACGTGCATTACAGCGTTACGGAGCGAGAGAGTGGACCACGTGATGGGGGGGAAGAAAAAAAAAACAAAAAAACAAAAAAAAAAGAAAAGGTAAAAGTACACAAGAGCTCGGGCATAAATCTCGGCGCGGGTACAGATTACTCTTTAATTATCCATCGGAGGAGTTTACGAGTCCGCGAGGCGTTTCGCGCGGTAAAAATCGTCAAGCAGATCGTAGATCAGTTCACGGTTGTTATATATACATGTGATACCTGCAAGTTATAATAACCTCCAGGCCAATCACGCTCGCTACTGCGGGCCATCTACTCTCTTTCTTAATGCATTCAAATATAAGCAGTGGCAGTGTTTATGTCTTGACATTGCAAATTGTAACGGCTACGCCGTAACTTAAAGTAATTGCGCCGCCGCCACCACTCGCGCCGGTGTTATTATTTACAACACCTACCCCCGCTCCGAAGGGCCACGCTCTCTCTCTCTCTCTATCTCTGTGCGGTGCGTTACGATTCGAGTCGCATGTAGGTATACCTTTTTGTCTGTGTATACATTTATATATCGTATGTGCTCAATTCTTGGGGTTATACAAAACGCAAGGTACACCCTCGAGGGTCTCATTACGTATACAAATGCAAGAATAACGGAATATTTCTTTGTCGATAATAGGTATAAATACAGTAGCCCTAGGTGCGTTTGTCTCCTTTTGTCCGCATATTATTCAGCTTTATTGTATGATTTATTACTTGGATAAATATGGCATTTGTTTAAAATAGAGTCGAGCAACGATCGATCGATATTTATATAGGGATAGCTGGCTGGCCGATTTGATTTGTAATTTTACAGTTAAATAACAGTCGCGACGATAGATTTTTATTTGACTACCTGTGCACTAAGGGAGCGCTTCTACGGTGATTTATGCAAATGTATATCTCGATCCCGTACGAAATGGCGCTGTTGGAAAATTAAATGTCATCTGCGACAAATACGCTTAGATCTTTTTTTTTTTTCTTTTTCAAACTTTTATTGAAGTTGTAACACCTTTAAATCAAATAAACTGGCGTCGTTTAGTTTTATACTCTGCCCTACCCATGTACCAACCAATGGGAAAATTGGTATTTACGATCGGAGCGTTTTAATAAATTACAGTTTTAGCTATGTGGATTACACGTGAAACATTTGTTTAGATCATTTTGAATAATAACAAACATTACTTTGGCAGATTGGCATTTAAACGGGATATTGATGTCGTGAGCGCCATCTGTTTGAAACTCGCTGATACATGTACTGCTGTGGCAAAGTGTTCCGCGCTTCGCTCACAGGTGGCTTTCCATACAGGGATCAAACAGGAATCTTACTTGGTTCACTTATTGATGCACTTTACCAATAAACAAGAAATTTCTCCGGGACTCGGGAAGATTGTAAAAATGTTCATGTGCATCGCAAGTAAAAATAATGTTAAAATAAACAAAAATGAAAAAAGGCGTTCCCAAACACCTCATAAGCCTTCTTATCTCGAAAGGGTTGACGAAGCTCATCATCAGCAGCAGCTTGGCCGATAAATCAGTTCACTCGGCCGATGCCAAGGCGCGAGTAACAGGTGGTCGGGGACTCCCTTCGAGCTTTCTCTCGTTCTTTTTCTTCCTCTCTACTTACATATAGCTGTACCTATATATCGGGGGAAAAACGAAGAGCGCAATCTCCCACAGTTCACGAAGGCGTTAAGCGCTCTCTTAAAAGGACGAAACACCTCGATGGGTCTTCTTCGCCCCTTTTCACCACCCCATCGGGCTTTTGGCGCGTTGGGATCTATGTATATATAGTTATTCGGTGAAATTTTATTGCACCGCTGCTAAAAACTTTCTCACTCGATGTACCCACTTTATTAACTGATGAATTTCTCATTGATAAACTTGTCCGGGGTTCTCTGCCATTTTTTTTTTTTTTTTTTTTTTTCAACTCCAACGGAACTTGAGTGGATTTGGTATAGGTACAATAATTGGTGGTAAAAATGAGAAAATAATTTAATTGTATAGGTAATATTTATTTTTTTAACGACTGGAAAGTATTTATCACAAACTCTTAATACTACTTGGGCTCTTTTCAATACTGACCGCAAAAGATCTACAGCATATTACGTTACGCTCCTCGAAGCTGAAACCCATCTTTCGTCAACAATTTCCAAAGTGTAATAACAAACGCGCTCGTTTGGCCTATCTACATTTGTTTTTGCCATCAATAGTCAAAAAAAAAAAAAAAATGAGAGAATAAATAAAAAAAGGCACTTCATTGAAGTGACGATCTCGCTCGAAATGTCGCACTGACAAAAGTTTCGCTCGAAGACACGTAAGTATAGTGAATCGTTTTCAACGTTAAACAATAAACTGATAAATTATTATACACATATGTACAAAGTCGTTAAACGAGGACTTGCTTCTATCGTTAAAGCTTACGTGGTTCTAAATGTCTTACGTGGCTATATCAAAAACACAGTCATATTTCAATGAGATACGCACGGAGTTGAAATATTCCGTTACACAATAATAGTAGGTAGTGTTAATAATAATGATAATTATTATTATAAAAAATGATATTGACAGTGTGTGTATATGTGTGTTTCTCTTTGCTTCAACTTGTCGATGATTATTTGGCGTGTTTATATCTCCAATAAACTCTTTGAGACAATTTTTTGGTAGAGGTTATTACATACATCGGTTAATCTTATAAAACCGCGTATAACAAGTTTCAACAAGAAAAATCAGTATCCATTTTCTAGGCGAAGACATAAAAATTCACTAAAAATATAAACACCTTACGCTCAATCCCGTATATATGCACTATACAAACGCTCGATAAGGCACAACGCTCAAAACAAAACAAAAAAACCCTTACAGTATACATATATATTACAGTGTTAGTTAATTATAAAAGGTATATATCGCAGCAAAACGCCTCACGTAGATTTGGCAGTACAACCAGCTGATGGCTCCCTCCCCCCGCAACTTTAATAACCTCGGCAACGTCAACAGAGTGTAAACAAAAAAAAAAAAAAAAAAAAAAAAAAAAAAGCATAAAATAAACAAACGGCAGACGCTGCTGATAACGGCAGATGCGGGCGACATGTTGCGCAAGAGCATAGTTTACGACAAGAACACNTTCAGTCACGAAAAAAAAAAAAAAAAAAAAAAAAGAAAACATTTAAATCCACGCGAATCACCAGGGTCGCCACATGTCCCCGTTCGTGGTCGTGGTCGCCGAGGTTTCGCTGCTACTGCCAACGAGCGAGGCCGGCCTGACCTGTTCGTCGCTCGACGAGTTCGGGAACTCCTCCTTCACCCTGATGACACCGGTCGGACTGTGACAGGTGAAGGACGAACTAGTTGACGCCCCACCGATGGTCGTCGTCGTGCAGGCCTCGTGAACCACCTCTCGCCTCGGCTTCTTTTGCTCGCCGAGCTGCAACACCAGTCCCTCGGAGCTGGCGTGCCTCTTGAGACTGTGATAGTGTTGCTCCCTCCTGGTGCTCGGCAGCAGTCCTCCCAGTGTTCGGTTGCACTTGTCGGTGATGACCGAGAGGGGTTCTCGCTTGACCAGGCCGGTGGTCGGGGGCGAGTTGGCCTCGGACCTCTGCGGCTGTTGTTGCTCGACCGGGACGAGGAGCTGGGGTGGTGAGCTACGGTCGCTGCTCGAGCTGATCTGCGGCTTCTGGGTCTCGGGCGAGGAGTAGCTGGACGACGACGACGAGGAGGAGGAAGACGCCGGACTCTGCTCGGGGACCTTGAAGCAGGTTGGGTACGACTCGGAGCCGTGGGCCATGAGGCTCTCCTCGAAGCTCGAGGTGGTCGAGGTCGACGGACTGAGCAGGGGACTGTGCGTGCGCTGGACCGCGGTGAAGGCCGAGGGGGTGCCGATGCGGGTGTTGCCGGTCGGCGTCGACTGCTGCTCCGAGCCCGTGGGTGGGAAGAATCCCGGAAAGTTGCCGGTGATGTTGGCCGAGGGGGGCACGAGGAGCGCGAGCTCGCCCGTGGGTAGCCGGCTCGGGATGAGCTGCACGTTGCTGGGTATCTGTATGCGGGGCCCGGGTGCAGTGGCGCCGTGGCTGCTGTTGTTGTTCTCGTCGCCACCGCCGCAGCCCTGGACGTCGGCTTGGAAGCCGACTTTGACCTCGGGGTAGAGGCGCTCGGGCATGTAGGGCACGTAGTGGTTGTAGAAGGGCGAGAGGGGCTGCTGGAGGTTGCTCACGCAGTTGTTGAGGTGCGAGACGAGGCGCTGCTTGACCGTCGGGTCGACGTTCTCCAAGTGGTTCACGTAGCGGGAGACCTCGTTCGCGCACTCGGAAAAACCCGAGCGGAACTTGGTGAGGACCACGGGATCGGTAGCCACGGCGCTGCTCAATTGCTGGCGCTGAATCTGCTGCAGGTGCTTCACTGTCATCTCCAGGATGTCCGCTTTTTCCAGTTTCGAGTGTCTGGTTGGCTGCAAAGACAAACAACAAGCGTTTAGATTTTTTTTTATTTCAACACCAGAATGATTTATTTTGTTGCTACCGGTAAAAATCACTTTTGCCGATCACAAGTTTTGCTATACGCGGACCATCGGACGCGTGTTGGTTTAACCGATGGAGTATAAAAAAAAAAAGTCAAAACTTTTTCCGGGCCCCCGATCGAATCCCAACTTTTGATCGGTATCCCTCCGAGGGTAACCATTATCATCCTCCTCGCGTGGGAATCCGTTGGCGCGAAGAAAAGAAACGAACCCCCGCCCGGTACCGATCATCATCTTCCGAGGCATCCCACTCGGATCGCTCGCGTGTGTAAGAAACCTCCCGACAAAAAAGTAGGGGGGGAGGGAAGCCCCGGGACTTTCCGAAATCGAAGGAAAGCCCTTTAACGGCGGCTACGGTGATTCGCTTCCTCCTTTATTCTCGGCGCACAATGCGCGCGCTGTATACACACACACGGAGGGAGCTACACTGGCTTCTTGGGCTGCCCCCTTTCATTATATATATTTTTTTTTTTTTTTTCTTCTTTTTCCACACCAAGTATACGTCCCGTTCGTTCGACTCTCGAGCGTTTGTGTTTTTTCGTGGGTAGCGGTCTCGGCTGGCCCGGTCAGCCCCTCGACAATGGGCGTGGGACTGACTGTTTACAGCATATATAACATGCACGCACGTCCGATCCTCGAGCGGCTCGAAAGAGTATACGGCAGTTTAACGCGCCGGGAATCTCGATCAGATTGTGAAACGGAAGCCGACTCTGATTAGCCGTCGTTTTTGACGGAGGCTCGTTCATCATCATCATCATCATCATCAAAATCGTCACGATTAAGTACGACGATATAATTATTCGTTGGGCCGATCATCCAAAGGAGTGCACAATGTATCGCCGATCGATTCGCGTGCGGGCTTGACATTCCGTCGTATATGATCGCGGCGAAGAGCATCGTACAGAGGGGCTGTATACTATTTTAGGTATCTGTCGGGGGTATACCTGCAGCCACCCAACGCACTCCGAGCGGTGCTAAGGGAGCGGGGGAAAAAAAAAAAAAAAAAAAAAGCGATTACCCGTGGAGGCATGTGTATAGGTACGCACACGCGAGAGGAGAGCAGATCAAATGCGAGAGTACATATACATATACAATATGTTATACAGCCGAATGTGTATATATATATATGTGTGTATACGCATAAAGCATATACACACGCTAGCGGGGCACGCTGCACCTGCTAAGGGTGGGCAAGGGGAGGAAGGGCCCCGACTGGGAGGGGGGCTTGAGCCGAGCTCGAGCGCTTCGCTCCCACGTTCGAGACGCCGTCTGTTGCCTGATGCCCCAGATGTGTGTGTGTGTGAGAGATCTGTTCTTTCACGTGTGATACTGTGATGCCGATGCATGAGGAGAGAGAGCGAGCGTGTGTGTGCCGCTGGTTTATATTGAGGGATCGAGAGAGAGAGAGAAAAAAAGAAAAGAGTGTATTAGTATGTAAGTGAGAGCGGAGGGTACACATATTATATATATGTATAAGGGGGCTGCGCGTGTATATGGAAAGGGAGCAGCGGATTCTCAAAGATGATACGGTCAACAAAGGAGGGATGGAGCAGGAGGGAGGGCAACCCGAGACCGTATGGAGTACAAGGAGTGGAAACACGGGCTCCCTCTTTTCTTTTTAATAATTATTCGGAGGTTCCCACGAACGCGGGGGGCGTTTCGGGCGAAAGGTGCGCGTGCACGCTGCTGAATGAGCGCCCGGAGGGAGAGGTGTTCGCACGTGCACGTGTCCCATAATATATATATATATAGGTTCTCGCTTGACCNCGTACAGCCAGCTCCTTCGCCGGCGGCCCGCTATATAAGGCCCAATGTATACATGAGCGTGCGTGTAGCAGCCATATATATATATACTGCAGATACATCCCGTATACCTGTTTTATCGGACGTACGTATATATATATATATACGTACGTCCGATAAAACAGGTATACGGGATGTATCTGCAGTATATATATATATGGCTGCTACACGCACGCTCATGTATACATTGGGCCTTATATAGCGGGCCGCCGGCGAAGGAGCTGGCTGTACGATATATAGTATGTGTATTGGCGGAAGTCATCTACTCCCCGGCGACGCTCGCCTCGTTAAGCCCGTCGTCTGAGAAATCAATCTCCGGCCGTGGGTATACTGTTACGCGTTAGGGCCCCTAGATGCCGATGTTGATCGCGTTAGTAACGACCCTCCGGCGCTAATTGAATGCAAACTATAGTTGGTTCGGCTATGATTTTCGCGGTGGTTTGATGTTATTTTTTTTTATTTTTTTATTATTTTTTTTTTTTTTCGGAGCTTCGAGGGATCCCCCTCGATCATCGAGGGGAGAAGCTACAGTATAGGAGCGACAATCACGCCGGACATTCTTTGATCGGGAATTACGCGACTCGTCATTCAATTAACTCGCCTGAACGAGGAGGAGAATCCGCTCCTTTGTTTTTTTTCTTACGCATCCTCTGTCAGAAGGGAAAATTAACATCGTGAAAGCGCGTATACTTGACAGGGCTGTCGAACGAACGAATCGTCACTGCGCGATGACAAAAATGATAAAGCTAACGTCTCGGACCATTTAGATCTAGAGCTACAGGCGCTACGAATACGAAAGAGGATTAAGTGTGCGTTGGGAAAACTTGGTTTTTTTTTTTTTCATCGCGGGGATTTCCAGCATTTCTTTTTTTTCAAACAGTTCGGCACGACACCATACACACGCATATAGTAATTGATGGCGCGCGCGCGCGGGAGCACCCACGTATTATACATAACACACGTTGAGTTATTGTATAGGCGCGCGTGCTCCGCAACGTTCCCACGAGTAGACGCGAAGGCATCTCCGAAAGGTCAAAGTACAGAACCTGTCCCCCTTTTGTATTACATATGTATACCTCCCGCCCTTCGGCGCGTCACCCCTAGGATATATTATGTGTATATATGGCTATGTGCGGCCCAAAACAAATGCCGTTGGATGAAGCGGAGCTATTTGACTTAACGCATCGTCGCTTTCGATTAATGGACCCTTTTTTTCTAACGATCTCAACTACTTTTTGTTTAAAGTTCAAAAGTCACGAGAAACCACGACAACTGGCACTGAACGTACTTAAAAAAAAAATCTCGCAACATTTATAAGATTATACGTACATTGAACGGCACGTGCAGGCGAGTGGGAACGTACAGGGGAACACGATTGATTGATAACGTTATCGGGCAAAATCGTTGATCGGCAAAAGTGAGATTTAAAAAAAGTAAAGGATCACCAAAAGAAAAAAAAAAAAAAAAAAAAAAAAAATCAACTTACGTCTTTTTTCATGGCCTCGAGGATGAGACTCTTCAACTCGTCCAGGCAGTTGTTGATACGCTGCCGACGCTTCTTCTCCATGATGGGCTTATTGCTNAAAAAAAAAAAAAAAAAAAAAAAAAAAAAAAAAAAAAAAAAAAAAAAAAGAAGAAAAAATCAACTTACGTCTTTTTTCATGGCCTCGAGGATGAGACTCTTCAACTCGTCCAGGCAGTTGTTGATACGCTGCCGACGCTTCTTCTCCATGATGGGCTTATTGCTCTGTAACCGGAGAGAAAAGAAATATTTATTAAACGCGTGGCAAATACATATATATATACCTACAGCGTAACCCGACACGGGCGCGTAAATTCGTCGTGAACGAAAACATGTGTGTACGTGTCACTATCGCGAGGCGTTTATGAATGAAATTCCAAAAGGCTCGACTCAGCACTGCGGGAATTTACGAACGCGACCTTATCAGAGAGTATATTTCTATACGCTCTACCCGGTGCTGTTGTAGTACACACGCAAGGCAAAAAGCTCGAGTCACGTGCGAGAGTACCTATATTTATTTGAAAGCCGACGCGCAACTCGGATCTTATGCTCTTCTCGCGAAATTAACGTACGAATAAACAGTGTCACGTCTCCGTTAACTTTCAATCTTTCGAACGATCAAAGGAGTAATCCGAAATTCTCTGCCATACAATGTATTATCACACGGTTGTTTTTACTTTTGTTTAAGGGATGAAACAACCCCTTGGAAGAAAAAAGCACAGGAAAAGTAAATGATCGATGCTTACCCTTCGCAGCTCGGCCTTTGACATCCCCGTTTGAATTTGGGGCTCGAATTCGTCGTCACTTCCCGACATCTTGCAACTGTAGTAATCCACCATCGGGACGAATTGCCTTATCACAATTGGTTATCCAAGATTTTGCACAAACTCCGAAGCCGAACGGATCCGTTCAGCCGGCGCGTCGGCACTTGGGGGAAGAACAACAACAACCACACTTTGCAACTTTGGCTTGATTTTTTTTTTTTTTTTTCCTTTTTTATTCCGTTTGGTCCCACTTGCGTTGGTTCGCTTGGCACTGTTATTGATAATAGTAATGAAAAAAAAGTAACTAGTGAAGTAGTTACAAGTCAACGAAACGGGTAAACGGAGCGAGGACTGTACTCCCGAAGCAGGGCTGTGCTGGCCTGTTCGGGGTGCGAGGGATGACTGTTTGACGTTTGGGCTGTCGGCGTGCCGATACACCGAGCCCACGACCCAAGGAAAGTAGTGGTGGGGGGAGTGGCCCCGGCGCGACGTAGGGGGGGGGGCCCGGCGTATTAATGGGCTGCTGCGCCCCTGCCGTGGCGTATACGGTGGAGGGGAGTGTGTGTACATCGGCACGCAGGCAGCCCGGTTGCGGCCCTCCCGAGACCTGTTGATGTGTGGGAATTCACGCCGATGCAGCGGCGGAGTCGCCCGAGCAGCCAATGGCAGGACGGGGGGACCGCTGCTCCCTCGCTCTCCTCAACATCTGCTTAATTTTGTTATTGGCATAATTTTTACTTTTTACGACGCCAGGCTCTCTCACGGCTCTCTTATCGGGTATCTGCTGCCGCTCCTGCTGTACTGACGGTGGGAACTGACGATTTGGGATTTTTTTTCTTTTCTTTTCTTATGTACACTATATTATTTATATTATGTGTACGAAAATTAAAGTAAAACAAAACAATCGCGAAAAAACTTTAACGCTTGCCTTGTCGTTTGGTCGATTGATTTTTTTTAATTTTCGTTCATCATCGTGTCCGTGAACTCGTGCCAGTCGCCTACGCGAGTTCAAATGGCGCGTGAATAAAATAAAAAAATCGTCGCACGCGCGAGAGAGAAAAATTTGAGTAATTTTTACGCCGGTTCCCACAGTACGGATAATTTTAACGATCCAAAATCGGCGAGCGAGACATATATATGTACATGAGATAAAGTGATGTCGACAATGACGAGAGTCGGCATCTAATCGCCGCTAAAAGGGGGAGTGCGGAAGCAAAGGAGGGGGAGATCGGTAGAGCACCACACGCGAGAGTTGCACTCGCATGCATAAGTATACATGATAGTGCGATATAGGTCGGAGGTATGTGTGCGAGCGCACGTCATAAGTGTGACTGACACGAGTGGTAGGTATATAGGTGCATTGCGTTCGGCGCAACGCGACGCATGCATGGGAATTCTTTCCCATGCCCGTAGGGGCAAAAGAAATAAGTACACTCGTGTGCTCGTAATGCTCGCGTTTCCTCGTCTCCTATACGTTATGTTCTATCCTTCGACTCCTTTTTTTTTTTTTTTTTTCTCTTAATCATTGCTTCGGCAACAGGCGGCAACAATTTCTTCTGTGCTTGCTTTTGTTTCCTCCCCGGCCAACTACACTTTTTTCCTCTCCCCTTCCTCGTGTGCTCGTTATATCTCTTCAATTTTAGACAACTAGCTTGTTTACTGTATAGGTTCATACTTGCGATAACTAGTATGCTTGCGATTATTTTTAATGCAATGCTAATTTTTTTACATTTTCAGCCGAGTGTTTTAATGAAGCAATTTTCGGCTCAAAGAAATTTCATGATAAGAGGAAAAAAGTTTTACGAATTTTTTTTCTGATTCGAAAAGTACAATAATCTTAAACTTTTCAAGCTTTGTAATGGAAAGAACACCAATACCTGTTTTCGACTTGCATAGTGTATAATTATGTACACGCAATACATCGCTGAACAATTGTTTTTCACATTTCTGACAATTTTATCGGAAAAGTACGTTATGATGGATGTTTTTTAGTGCACAGCATTTCTTAACGAAACTTGACAAAAGTGAGACTAGTTTTCCCATCTCAATTAAATTCTTCGCTTCGAATATTAAGTGCCAAAATTAATTTTTTCTTTCTTCTTTTTTTTACAAAATCTCAATTTTGGCGTATTAAGTTAAAAAAAATATTTATATATTCCACCCTATACAGGTACTCTAACGAGAATTAGTTCGAGATGTAAGACAAGCCTTGTTAATGTTAACATCGAATTTTTCACAAAACCAAAAAATTACAACACGCCCGGCAATGTCCAAGCGCACAATATATCATAAGGTTGGGGGGAGGGAAAAAAAATTCCAATCAACTAATACAATTGCACCGTATATTAGCAATTAACCTTGCCGATTATTGCCAAATGGTACACCTCCCAAGCTCGTCACAAAAAAAAAAAAAAAAAAAAAAAAAACCCATGATCGGCCATCGGCGCACTTAGCCGTCCTTGGTCCGCGCTTAGCGGCTACTCGCAGCCAAAGTATACACTTAAAATCGTAAAATTGAAAAAATGTCCCGAGCCATCGTTGCAAAACTGTCATTCCGCAAGTAAATATGTACAGGAGGCCGAAAGGCACGTGCGCGGCGGTGGACCAACACGTTGCAAACGGCGAAAAGGGAGGACGGCCTTTCAGGCGTCTTGACGCGAGGCCAAATCATCGGGCGAAACGCGTGACGGATCCTATACTCCGAGCGGCGCTGACAAAATTAGTTATTGGCCCGTGCGCTTGAAAGGGAGACGGCCCGGTGTCATAAACGGATGAATTTTTACGGCGTGCGATTATTGAGCCGGCGAGCTTTAACTTTCGAGGCTGGCCGGGGCCTCTAGGGCCCAGTTTTATGATTGTCCCCTCGCAAACCGAGCTGATGGAAAAGCGCAGCGCGACCAGCCATACATATATATATATAAAAATTCACCTCCACCCCCCTACGACCCTATGATTTATTTACTCTCGGACTCCCTACTTGTACTGCCGATGATGATGCACCGTATAATTATACCGTTACTCTAATGACGATTGCGTCGCCTTTTGAGGGCCAATTTGTTGGTCCTAATGCCTCATTGGGAAGAGCCGTACTCCCAAATGGCTCAGTGAACAAAGCGAGTTAAACATTCATTTTCTAACAAACGATATCAGATCGCGGCAATTTGGTATGAAATCGAGAGGGACAGATGTTTACAAGCGTTACTTGGAATAAACAACAATTCAATAATCATTTGTAAAAGCACTGCCCTTTCAGTCGGCGAGGAAAAAAGAGTCACTCAAAAAAAAAAAAAAAAAAAAAAAAGGGTTGAATCGGCTTTTGACCGTAAACTCCCCCCTTTGACGTTGCCCGAGTTTGCAGAGCGTTGGCCCCGCAAAAAGCCAAATTCCCCCTTTGGCTGCACGAGATTGCAAATCTGCGCCAGAATTCAAGTGCACCGAGCGCTTATCGATCGTATACGTTTGCGTGTGTTCAACGCTCGGCTCGATACCGATCGACGAGTCTCCCTCTTCCACAGCTGCGGAACGCGCCTCCCGATTTTGCCTCGTTATACAATATCGTGCGTTTGTTTTCATGGGGGTGCGCGCCCTTTTGTCACTTCTGGCTCTCACTTGCGTCTACGGTTGCCGGTCGGTCAGATAAGCAATTTTATGTATACGTATGTTAATTTTGAGGGACGTAAAGTAATAGACACTTCAAGTTGCATGAATTACCGATTCATATAAGATTACCTGTACTGTACGTCAAAGATCTCAACTTTGGAGTGATTGTTGTATACTTGAAACCCCAATGATTGGTAGAAACGAGACTTTGTTATTAAAAAATCGGTCGCACGCGAATCGCCGGACCGAGGCTGAAAAACCGTTACCAGGGACTCGAAAGGATGAGGCCCCGATGGCTCCCTCGTAAAGTTTATGGTTTTATGGGGGGGGGGGGGATCCTCCTCGACTCCGTCCCTGAGCCGTAAAGTGCTCGCTTTTCACGATTCGGCGCTGCATCCCTCTCGGGGGATGCCGGCTAAATTAACGCAAAGGTATATCCGTGCAAAACTCGAGTTGGCGCGGGGACCTTGGGTCCCGTTTCCCGGGCAATAATGACGCAGCTGTCATAAGCACGGGCTCATTGTCCCCGACGGCCGAAGCCTTCGGGTATTGCCGACGCTTTTCGAAAGCGCTCATGCCGCGTACACAAGTGTTGATTTACGACGCGACATAATCGTCGATTATCGAATCCTGAACATTAGGGGGGGGGGGGTGGAAATCGTTTGTCGAAATTACTGTTAAAGTAGCAATTTCAATGTTACATTTCATCTGTTTTATTTGATTCCACAGTATACTTGATGTACCTTGATAATTTGCTTTAGTTTTTATTATTTGTTTTTTTTTAGGAGATATATATTTAACACATTAACAGTAAACCGAAGATTGATTATAGTTGGTGAGTGGTTTGAAAATCTTGAAGGCGCCGGAGAAAACTTAAAGGGCTAAATTCGTAAAGGAGGAGGAGACGTACAGCTTGTGTATTCGGGGATACGTGGGAAGGAAGGGAGGCGCGCGCGCCCGTGTGTGTGTGCGTGTTCCTTCTAAACTGGGACGCCCACGTGTAGGTATGTGTATTATATGGTTGTAGCCCTCGAGTCAGGACTCGGTGCACCTGCGAGTGCAACCGTGAGAATCGTGGACTCATTCGCGGCGATTCATATGCTCACACGAGAGATCTTTCAAGATCCCTCTCTCGGTGTCGCCTGTCGTTTTTCAACTCTTGTTTCGGAACTGTAACAGCCATCGCTCCTGTCGCGATTAATTGGTTCCACCAATTGGTTTTTCTTTTATGACTTTTTTTTTTTTCCAACTTTCTTCATCATGTCAAAATATATTTTATACTGAACGCTAAAATATGCTGTTTTCAAGGTGGAACTGTGTTTTATAGTACAATCAAAGTTCATCCATATGGCAAAAGTTTCATGTACCGAGACACCGATGAGTCAGAGGGTGGTTGGGAGAATTTCGAGATTCCATCATCCCAGTACTAAGTTGTACGCTGCAGCTCGAGAACGAAGGGCAAAGGACAGAGAGTC